GCAGGTCTCCTCCCTCCGCTCGGGAGGGGCTCGGCCGGGGTGCGCGGCGGCCGCCGTGTGAGCAGCGAGCGCCCCCGGGCGGGGACTGCTGCGGCCGGGAAGGGGTCGCACCGGAGCTCGCCCGGTGCGTTTTACCCGCCCTGAGGCGGAGATCTCCCACCCGGCCTGTACCGGACGCTGACGGCGGGGCTCCTGATCCGGCTGTGGGTGCTCCGGTATCAGCTCTACTGTGGCTGTGAACTTCAGCCTCTGGAGCCGGCGTAAAAACACCCAGCCTCAGCTTGTCTCTTTTAAATCATCATTAGTTTTATTTGCAGTTTTATTTTCTGCGACTAACAGATACTAACAGATACTGAGTGCGTGGGATGGAGAATATTGCCAGTTACAGATCTGCATGGGCACATTTCTACATCAACACGCACAAGGTTATGTATCTTTACAGAAGTATTTTCTGCATCTCCCGCTCCCATCACGACCAAAGCCACAGTACAGGCTGTTCAAGCAACAGCCACCAAGGCAGGAGGACATAACAGCGTGCCTGGCATTGCTGCTGCCCAGTATGGGGTCTTTCGTATCCTTAGTGTTGGTGGTACTTGGTATCGCTGCTATATGCTGTCTCTGGGTTTTGTATTTTGCATGTATTTTTGGCAGACCAGGCTGGAGGACATACAGGCAGGACAAAAGCACTTTCACCCTCATGAAGGACTGGACCTTACACATATCAACCAGCCAGAGGAGATAAACCACCAGAGCAAGACTGACCCAAATCAGTGATGATTGCCAACAGACTTTGTTACTGGCAGTTCAAAACCCTTCCTGTTTCTCTCTCATTCTCTAAGTCTCTAAACTGTCGTCTTCTGTTCTCTACATCTCCTGTCTTTGTATAAAATCTTGCCTGTTACAGCTCATCATATGTTGCCGTGTGTGTGTGTGTGTGTGTGTGTGTGTGTGTGGTGTGTGTGTGTGTGTGTGTGTGTGTGTAAAATGTTGCCAGGTGCCGTCTGCCCCTCCATCTTGACCGTGTAGCCCACCTGATTGCCTAGTAATTTTTGCGAGGAACCATTCATGCCTGGGAAGAGAGAGGGGAGATGACAGCAGCTCGATGCTGCCTACTGTGGGTCTACAGTCTACCTAACACATGGTACAAAGCAACCTGGGTCACTTTGGGCTGCAAGTGGGAATGGTAACTGTAATCAGATTAAGGGAGGTGGCACACACCTCCAGCTCAGGGCACAACTCCAGCATCCCTCCTCCTACGCCATCAACCCGGATCAGCCCATCACCCATCTGGCCAACTCCTTGCACTTCACACGGGGGTCACAGTGCCAGGTAAAAGCCACTGTGCTGAGCTGAACATACACAAGATCCAAGCTGTGAGGCTATTAACAACTCAAGAGTGCACAGGAGGGAACACAACATGCCCATGCTGTTAACTGCTGCCAGAAATCTTCTGTCTGTGAAGATTTCTGCACTGACTCCATAACTGCAAAAGCAGCCACATGACACTACTAATTCTTGGGGCCCATGACAAGACACCTTGTCCCTAATTAGCCTGGCAACAAAATTACTATTTTAATCAGCAAGTAACACTGAATAAATGAAAAACTGACAGTTCGTAGTATGAAAACCAGGAAGTCACTTCTTCATGAAAATACAGCTGGATGAAACTGGCTACAGTAGTAGTAAAAAAAAAAAAAAAAAAAAAAAAAAAAAAAAAAAAAAGGGAGGTATAATACCAGCCAGCAACGTAGTGGTGCTGCAGAAAAAGGGAAATCCCATTTTCAGATGGAGTAGCAGTATCCCGAGGTCTAATTACTCAATTCTATTCTGTTTTATCCAGCCCAAACAAGATCTCAGGTAAGGTCCTGAGGAGTCTAGAAAACAGAAATAAAAATTACATGTGGAAGAAAATACAGCATATCAGGAAGGGCTGAAATAACTGTGTTCATTTAGTCCAGAAAACTGAGACTGTCAGGAATCACTTTAACTGACTTCGTCTTTATCTTTGGTTATTTGAAAGGATGGTAATAATTGTTTCCCATGACCTCTAGAGGATGATGAGCAGAAATAAAGTTAATTTCCGACAGGAATAATTTCAGTTGTAAGACAGGGAAAATTTTCTTAAAATCAAAGAAGAAAAATACACATAGTTCTCCCTCACTCGAGGTTTTAACAAAGGGATTGGAGAATGATCAGACATGACTTTGGATATAGGTGTATCTAATATGTACAGCATACTGGCATACAGCAAGTAGACCAAAAGACCATTTTAAATCCCCTTATAGGGCAATATTTTTATTATGCTATGTTATCAATTTAGGGGAGAACATGCTCTGATATAGTAATAATTCTAGTATTTTGCAAAACTTGGTAAAATGACTTCAGAAATAGTTTTTCAAGTGACAAAGGGAAGCTGTAGTATAAGGCAGCGTGGTGGAGAAAGATCAGCACAGTGGAATCCAGCATACCCTACGTACCAGTATCTCACTGTAGACAGTATGAGTAGGATAACAATTTTTTCCTCAATATTGGCAATGTCAGGAGTAGTCATAATTGCTTAATATCATACAAGACAAGGCCACTTGAATATCAAGGAAAAGTATTTTATAAAGAATGTGCAAGGCTTGCTAGGACTTATATTCCTACAGTACCCAGGTGTTTGGGTTTGGTTTGCTTTTTTAAAATACTGTGGGTGGAGCAGTAAAACAAAAAGAGGAGGAAGCACGGATGGATTAATTCAGGGCTTTTGCAGAAACCTGAGTGGGCATGGAAAGGGCAGCACCAGGGAGCACTCAGGGAACAACTTAGTTCAGAAGGTCAGAAGTAGCGGAGTAAACAAGACCACAATATGTCTCGGGTCATTCTCAGATGTGAAATCTGCAGATCCTGTTTCCCAAGCTCTTCTGAAAACATCTAGTTGTGGGAACACTGACGCTCTCCTGCTTACCCAGGAGTTGACAATGATGCAGCAGCTACGTGCTGATTTTAAGACCCAAGTATTTTCAGAACTGGAAAATTGTTACCAGCAGAACATCTCCTCTGTTCTACAGGCTGGAAAACAACACAGAGAAAAATTGGGAATTGAGCCAACAGAGCTAAAAGAGAAACAAGAATTCCCAATTTCTGACCTAGAAACTGAGCTGCGCAGCCTCTCTCTGTCCTGCTTTTCCATGGCTGTCATGGGAATTGAAGATAGATGGAGGAAGCAGACAACAGCCAAGTTTCCCAACTATGCCATTACACCTGCAAGAAATTTACATAAGATTCACATTTTATCGAACAAATGACACCAAACACACCCCCCCCTGCTTCTACCTTCAAACCCTTAGAAAAAGCTACAGCTGAATCTCTTGTAGGTTTTATCATGCACACTATGATTAAACGTTTTCAAAAGTGGTCACCAACTCTGAGTGGCTCCACTCCAAAATGAGCATCCATTCTTCCAAATTAAAGATACTCATCAGGTCTGTAAAAATGGCCCAAGGCTGGGTAGCACTGGACATCAGATTTTGAAGCATCCAAAAATAAAAAAATAATGTTAGCATACATGTATCCACAAAACACAGTTTATATAAATTATAAAATAATTTTGTGTACTTGCCTAGGAAACATGTTCATTTTCCAGAGATACTAACAATACGTGATTTTTAAAAAATTTCTCTGGGGCAGTAAATGTATGACATAACACTAAGATACTTACTTTCAACAATTACAACAGAAACATTTCCTACACTACTATTCAGCTGGTTTGTTGAACACATTCTTTTACTCTTGCATTTGTGTTTCTAACTCAGCTAGGTATGAACAGAGACACATTTCATGCTGGCACACATGAATGAAAATATCATCGATTCCAGCGGTGCTAAGCCTGCTACTTACTGCAAAACAGCAGGATGTGATCTATAGCATTTTTTGTCAGCTACATGTACACTGAAATCATTGATTTGCCCAAAAATATATGAGCACAGGATTATTTGATGTAGCCCTACAATAACTCCAAGTGTAGCCTTTTCTCCACACAGATTAAATGGTAGTATGTGTCATTTTGACCCTTAGAGACCTACTAACCTCCTGAGATTTTCCAGAAATTAAAATTCTCCTGGGAAATTCTACATGCCTTTGTAAAAATACATAAAAATTTCACCTATCCCAAATTAATCTCTCTTTTATTCCATCCACCAGCTGTGTCAGCAATGACTCCCAAACCCGTTTCAGGGCAGAAGATGGCAAAGTTCATGCAGTCTTTCTGCCCACTACATTCTTTGGCATAATCAGTGCTGCCAATCTCACAGACAAACGTCAGCTGAAAAATTATGGAACAATCTCAAATAAAAAGGCCAACACGAGAAAAAGGACCTTTCTCCATCTTCCTTTGAGGTTGGGTCAGGAAGTAATAACCCCGTTTGTGTTCAGGAGCCTTCCCTGAAACAGGGAGAAGCAGTCTGGCTTGGCACAACCACAGAGGACACCTAAATGCAAAAGTTCAGAATTCGGTTCAAAACATGAAAATTTCCTGCATATCAAGACAAAAAGCACCAAGACCTGACTGGATTTAAGACAACTATTTGCAGAATTAGAAACAATAGATCTTTTCTCATAAGATAAGAGTAAGAGAAAATAGATTTAATCTTAAAGCTGACAAAACCAAACAGAGGTATTATTTATTAAACCAAGTTAGGCTACAGGGATCTCTGCTACAGTACACTGACAGAAGTTCTGTACCACCTTCAGCAACAGAAACGTCAGGTTATAATACTAGTTTGTTTTGGGGGCAAGGGGTGCATATTATTTTTAGTGGATAATGTTCAAAAAACAATACTGGCATGCATGTGCCAGAGACAGTCTGATGCTGTTTCCTTCAAAGCTAGGGAAAAAGACCTTTACCACCTATTATTCTACACTCACAGACATGGTCTAGGAAAAAGAATAACAGCTTGGGACTGTATTACCTTGTCCACAGAATTCCCTCTGGAGAAGAAAAACATCTCTCAATGGAGAATCAAAGGCACTTTCACCCCAGGAAAGCTCCTGCAGCCATACCTCACAGAAGAGAAAATTTCCCAGGATGACAGAGCTAGTCTGAAAACTGCAGAAAACACTGAATGATGCCATTTTACCAGTAGAGCTGTCTGTCAGACCTTGAAGCCAAAAATCTTGATTTCCACGTTAACCAACCCCCTGGTTAGATCTGAAGGGAGACTCCTGCACTGCATGTTTGAGATTATCTTTTGGTTAGTTTGTGGCAGGAGCGAAAACACAGAGGGTGACCAAGTAGGGATCCCTGGGCCTTCTGGACACAGAGAAGAAAGGCGGTCAGAGTATGACTCCGCATGAAAGAAAGTGAACACAAGAAACATCTAATACACCATGTAGAACAGTGCATTAATCAAGTGTTATGTCATTGAGTCATTAGCAAGCCTCATGAAAAACAGTGCCAGTGTTAGTAATTTGTCTCTGATGAAGCAGAAGGGGGATCAACACAGTTCTTCTAGGTCATCCAGCAAGCAGAGAGAGCATCTCCCTACCTTCCCTTCTTGTACACCCAAAAGGCACAACAAAAATCTGGGCCAAACATCCTCTTTTATCACCTATAAAATCTCTTACTGCAACATTACAACTGCACTAAACTACTACAATATTGTGTAGGCAAACTCAAACTTCATTCTGTTGAGATACTAATAAAAGCTCCAGGGAAAAGGGGCTAGGGATGGTAAACAACAATTTTATATGACTAATCCAATATAATCCTATGCTGTGTAAAAAGACCATCTGCATGTATTCCCACCAAAGTGCTTTAATAACAGTGCAGCAAGCCTCTGGCTGTCATGCCAAGGAAATGCTCTTCCATACTCAGGATAAATCAAAAAGATTAATTCCTTCTTTCCCCCCCCCCCCCC